CAACCTCTTAAAATAATTTATTATCACTTAAGCTCCTAGAGATTAAGTTGACTATTCCAGTTCAATACCTTTTGGCACTTTATACAAATTTAAATATTCATTTCATTTCATTTCATCATCCTGTTAATCGTCGATTGCCTCGAGCAGGCCCCAGTAACGTCTCTTTCATCCTAGCTCTGAGATTATATTCAGGGCTCTTTAGGAGAATGAGACCCATCATTGTTACTGGTATTTGGCATATTTGGTAGGCCACGGGGAGTTTGCCAGACTCTGCCCTGTGGGCAGGCTACATTCGACAGCCTGCAAGTTTGTCCAGAGTAGGAATGAGATAATAAGATGTCCCGGAGTCCCTTGGAGGGGAGCGGGTTGAGCTTTCCTCCCCGCCCCGGCCAGGGCTACGGCAGCCGGAGACCTCCAGGACCAGCCACCACCATGCTGAGACCACTCTCCGCACACCTGAAGGTACTGGCAGAGGGACAAAGCCACGCGGGTTCCGGGGCCGAGACCTCCAAGCCTACTCGAATTGGAGTCGAGCATCTTCCACCCAGATCCTCCAAATTCCAGTAGGCGGGGGTCACACCCACCACCTGGCCCCCTGGCGCCGTGTAATCCCATCAGCGGCCAAGACTCAGAGACTATAAAATCCAGATCCCGGACGAGAGCAGTGCAGTCTCTGCCCCCGCGCCTCGGTGTTCCTTCCCGGAGTCCCTTGGAGGGGAGTGGGTTGAGCTTTCCTCCCCGCCCCGGCCAGGGCTACGGCAGCCGGAGACCTCCAGGACCAGCCACCACCATGCTGAGACCACTCTCCGCACACCTGAAGGTACTGGCAGAGGGACAAAGCCACGCGGGTTCCGGGGCCGAGACCTCCAAGCCTACTCGAATTGGAGTCGAGCATCTTCCACCCAGATCCTCCAAATTCCAGTAGGCGGGGGTCACACCCACCACCTGGCCCCCTGGCGCCGTGTAATCCCATCAGCGGCCAAGACTCAGAGACTATAAAATCCAGATCCCGGACGAGAGCAGTGCAGTCTCTGCCCCCGCGCCTCGGTGTTCCTTCCCGGAGTCCCTTGGAGGGGAGCGGGTTGAGCTTTCCTCCCCGCCCCGGCCAGGGCTACGGCAGCCGGAGACCTCCAGGACCAGCCACCACCATGCTGAGACCACTCTCCACACACCTGAAGGTACTGGCAGAGGGACAAAGCCACGCGGGTTCCGGGGCCGAGACCTCCAAGCCTACTCGAATTGGAGTCGAGCATCTTCCACCCAGATCCTCCAAATTCCAGTAGGCGGGGGTCACACCCACCACCTGGCCCCCTGGCGCCGTGTAATCCCATCAGCGGCCAAGACTCAGAGACTATAAAATCCAGATCCCGGACGAGAGCAGTGCAGTCTCTGCCCCCGCGCCTCGGTGTTCCTTCCCGGAGTCCCTTGGAGGGGAGCGGGTTGAGCTTTCCTCCCCGCCCCGGCCAGGGCTACGGCAGCCGGAGACCTCCAGGACCAGCCACCACCATGCTGAGACCACTCTCCACACACCTGAAGGTACTGGCAGAGGGACAAAGCCACGCGGGTTCCGGGGCCGAGACCTCCAAGCCTACTCGAATTGGAGTCGAGCATCTTCCACCCAGATCCTCCAAATTCCAGTAGGCGGGGGTCACACCCACCACCTGGCCCCCTGGCGCCGTGTAATCCCATCAGCGGCCAAGACTCAGAGACTATAAAATCCAGATCCCGGAACCGCGCGGCCGTTTAAAATTTGTGAAACCGCGCCGTTTAAAATTTGTGAAATTTTAAAAATGCATGCTTTTTATCAAGTCTGGGGTTCAACTACAACTTCATGCTTATTGGACATTTTGCATTATTATTTTGTGTATCTGAATTGTCTCTCATCCTTTGCCTATTTTTCTTTTGGTTTCTTATTAACAATAATTAGTAATTATTAACAATTATTAGGAATTAATAATTATTAATACACTGTTACTAAGTGGTAATACAGATGTATAGGAAGACACCACAGGTCACATAAATAGCAAATTCTGGATCTGGGATTCAAACATCTCCATAATAATTTGGAGTACAGAATCTAATTTCAGCCCTCTGTCATAGTCATATGTACAAATCTTTCCTATTTTTCATTTGACATATATTTTATTTCATTTTGCCACAAGATGATTTATGATTATTATGCAGTCAAGATTCAAACTTTTTCTCATTGATTCTAGTTTTTAGGGTACCCATATGGTGCCAGGATTGAACCTTTCACCCATCCTGAATCTTAACCTGGATGCACTGTACAAAGGGAGAAAATCCTCAGGGTACCAGAGAGACAGTTCCAAACAATACTGTTGATGTGAAGAAACAAATTGTTCTAACAAATGAATGTGAATGCAATCCTTTCTGCAATTAAGATGGCTTCCAATAAAACGAAGGGAGAACTCAACTGCGCTGTCACCTGCTAAATAAAAAAAAATTAAAGATAAATAATGATTCAATTTCTCTCATATATCTGCAAAGGAACTCAAAGATTTGAGTGACACTGCTAAAACAAAATGTCTATTCCCATTTGCTTATATATATAAATGAGGCTTTTGTATGCTAATGCTTATCCAGACAAGAAGCAGGAAGAGAACTGATGCTGAATCTTGTCTCAAGCGAGCAATAAGCATTATTTATCCGTGGCAGCATCTATTAGCTCTCCACCAAATATCTGTTTCTAACACTTTTTTGTTTTATGCTTAATAATTGCCTATCAAAATTTACAATATTTGATTCATCGTATTATATGGTAAATCATGAAGAGTACATTTTTTAAAAATTGAAGCAACACGGTTAAAACTGTTTCCATATTATTGTTTTATGCTCACAATGCTACTTCATCATTTTTTAAGCAATACCTAGAACTTTAGGATTGAAGGAACATTTTGAAAGCATTTATATTCATATATATGTGTGTATATATGCCCCCAGAGAAATATGATAGGAAATTAATACAATAATATCAAGTGGAAAATGCATTATTTAGACAAAATTCTGTCAAAATAGAATGAAACTGAAAACTCAATGAGAAAAAGGGGAAAAGTACAACTTCCAACTGTCAAAAAGCTCCAGTATGAAGTTTAAAAGAATAGAAAAAGGTGGCTTTCAAATCACTGAGGTATTTAGGTTTCATTAGTTTCACGTAAAATCACTACATGAGAGTTTTCTTTGTTAATGTTAACATTTGCCAGAAATCATGTTACTTGAAGGTAACTGGCATTTCTGATACACCATTCAAGATACCAATCTAAAAAATGTGCAGCGTACAACACTAAAAATATTTTGAATATTCTGATATCAAACAATCATTTTATAAAAATATAACAAGACAAATAGCAAAGAAAGTATACTCTCTTGCCACCTTGTGGCCAAAGTTGTACTCAAACCTTCACCCTACACACATACACACAAACATACACAGAGTTATAACAGAATGATCTCCTTTAGTTAGTTCTTTCTGCTAGTCTTTCATTGGGTCTTTGTGAGGCAGAGATGGTGATGCTGGGTAGAACTGAATTTAGACCTGTGAAGCACATAGCACTGAAACGATTATGCTGACAACCCTTTCCTGTGATTCAGAGCTTAAAAGCAACATGCAATCAGGAAAGGAATGTAAGAAAATCAAAACAAAATTCTGCCTTTTCTTATGAAGACTACTTAAAAATTTATTAGAGGTTCACTCTGTTCCTTTCTAAAGAAGCCTTTGTTCTCTCCTGTACACACACACACACACACACACACACACACACACACACGCATTTCCCTTTTATATTTCTCTAGGTAAAGCAACTTGACTTCACTAAAAAACAATATATCAGGGCTGGGGATATATCTCAGTGGTAGAGCATTTTTATGAGACTCTGGGCTCAATCCCTAGCACTACAGCACAACAATAGGAACAAATTACAAGGGTTTAAGAGATCACTCAATGAACTGCATGAGTGTTTTGCATGCAGGAGGGCCAGGTTTGATGCCTATCACCACATATGCCCCTGTCTCCATCCACAAACACAGAGCCAGAAAGTAGCCCCCAGGGATTACTGGGTGTAGCTCCCCAAACAATAACAACAACAACAAACAAATCAAAGAGCAAAATCTAAACTGAAAAAGTCAAACATTCTGATTGATCTTTTTTCTTGATTCTTTGGGGTTTAGTGCTTCTTCTATGCAGGTGACTTAGAAACTCCTTAGTGGGGCTTTGGGGGAACCCGGACCTGTTTCTAGCTCTGAGGCAAGTTTGATTCAGTATGATATCCTCAGCCTTAGTAGAACATCTGGTTCTTGGCTCAGCTGAACAGAATTTGTTGAGAAAATCATGGCACAGGCCCCACTTTCAGAAAATGCTGAAATTCTTCCAAAAGTGGATAAGTAGGGCAGTCCAGGTGCCATGATAGTGTCCAGTGTAGAGATCTTTGGTAGGCAGAATGAGGCTATCTGCTGCCCTGACCCCCAATTCCATGACCTGAAGTACATTCAGCAGCAGCAGGAACAGGACCATTTTAATGGTTGGACAGGAGGCAATAAGAGGATATTTATGGAAGATGATTTGAAACTTGAGGAATGGGACCAAGAGTTATCCTTGGGGCAACCCCCAGGACATCTGTTGTAGTGGACATCTTTCCAGCCATGGCTCCACTTGTGGAACAAAAGTCCAGAGCATAGAGGGTTTCCTTGTGTCTACCTGACCAGAGAAGAAGCAGCCTCCCTGCAACCAAGAAAACCAGCAGAGGCAATCAGACTGGAGACCCTGTCTGCAGATCACCCACCCCTGTCCTCCACCCCAGAAAGGTCCCCTCCCTGCAGAAGGGGCGGGGGGGGGGGGGGGGGGAAGGCACATCCATTGCTGCCCCAGGACAGTTCTCTGAAGGTAGAATCCAGCTGCCCGGCCCACAGGGGGACAAGGCCAGACATCCTCATGCAGAGCCCAGAGGTCAAAATATGTGTAGTACATTCTCCTGAGTCTGTGGGCAATGGCTTTAATTTCTGAGGCCTGTCCTCTGACCCTGCATGTGAGGAGGCTTCTCCACATGCCCAGTCTTACCCAGCACACTAACCACTTGTGGGCCTCATCTTTCTGCCAGAGGAGCTCAGCAAGGCTCCCTGAGGCTCTCAGACCAGGCCCAGCTCCCTGCACACAGAGTTGCTTCCTCCGCACCCCCCTTCCCCTGGCTGCTGCCAACTGGGGACTGTGCCAGGGCTTGAGGGTTAAGGGGTGCGTTCTGGGTTTCAGGCCCTCTCAGTCACACTGGAGGTGCCAGATATGGGAATGGCCTTCCTGTGGTTGTCCATGCCCCACCCTCCACTCCCCCAGCCCCCACCTCTGAGCAGCTCAGGGTCTGCTGGCTGCCAACCCTTCACCCCAGGGCAGTGCTTGGGGGCTGGAGGAGGCACAGGCACAGTGTCTGCAGAATGGAGATAAAATGGGGAAGGGATGCATCTCTCCAGGCGCCGTGGCCTTGGGAGCTGTGCTCTCTGGATCTGGAGTCCAGGTCGTCCCCCGAGGAACGCAGAGCTGCGGCTTCATCCTTATTGTGAAGAGCAGAACCTGGGATGGGAGGGGAGCATGGGACAGAGCCGCAGAAGCGGCCAGCCGCAGTGATGATGGCCTGTCACAGCTTCTGGGTATGCTTGAGCAGCCAGCCTCTCGGGGCACATTTCCCAGCCTCAGAGATTTTCCGAACCTGACCACTCTGGGGTCCCGGGCCCCGCAGGGCTGGGGGAAAGCGGCATGGACGAAGGGAAGGAAGAGCAGAGGGGAGGAGACGCTTAACCGTGTCGGACCAGCGATTGGAGTCCAGCACTGGAAGCGCCTTAAAGAGACTGCGCGGTCCCCGCCCCCCTTCCCGCCAGCCACAATGAATTAGTGCTGTGTTTCCCAAACTTGCCTGATCACAAGAATCCTGTCTGACCCCAGTTAAAGATACAGGTTCCGGAGCGCCTCCCTGCACGATTCCAATCCGGGGGGCCAGCGGGTGGGGCTGCGGAATCTGTAATTTTAACCCGCTCCCCCACGTGATCCTCGTGAACCAGCAAGTTTGGGAAATAGTGAATTAAAGGAAACGGGGCCTGGCTGTGGAAGCGGTCTCCGCTAGGGGGCTGGGGAGGGAGCAGTCCCGGGGGCGTCGCCTGCTTCCGCCCTACCTCCTTCGGCGAGAGTCCCTTTTGGGTCCAGCGACCGCAGCCAGAGCCGCCGCGCTCCCTCAGGCCGGGCGGGGGACACCCCGAGTCTGCGTGGCCCCTGCGCCGCCACGCCCAGTGCCCGCCGAGCCCGGCGAGCAGGGGGAGGAGTCGCCGCGAGTGGAGGCGGAGGAGGTAGAAAAGGCGGAGACCGAGACGGCGGAGACGGCAGAGGAAGGTGGAGGCTGAGGCTAAGGTGGCCGAGCGGGCGGCAGCGGCGGCGGGGAAGGTGGCAGCGGCGAGGAAGGTGGACGCCACCGAAAAGGTGGAGGCGGCCGGGAACGCAGAGACGGTGGAGGAGCCGGGCCGCCGGCGGGAGCTCAAGCTGGAGTCGGAGCCCGAACCTCTGCGGGAGGCTGATCAGGAGCCGAAGGGGGAGCCCGAGCTGGAGCTGGAGGATGAGAACCCAAAGCAGAGCAGCGGTGGAGGCGGCAATGATGAGGTTCTTCCCCTTCCCCTTCCTCCCGACCCTCCGCGGCCCCCCGCTCCCTCCCAGCGTCGCAGTCGTGCCCCCCGCCGCCGACCCCGGCCACGGCCGCAGACCCGGCTGCGAACCCCGGCGCAGCCTAGGCCACGGCCCCCACCCCGGTCCCGGCCCCGACCCCGACGCGGACCTGGGGGCGGGTACCTGGATGTGGATTTCACTCTGGGTCCCCCAGGCTGTTCCCACGTGAACAGCTTTAAGGTGGGAGAGAACTGGAGGCAGGAGCTGCGGGTCATCTACCAGTGCTTCGTGTGGTGTGGAACCCCAGAGACCAGGAAAAGCAAGGCAAAGTCGTGCATCTGCCATGTGTGCAGCACCCATTTGAACAGACTCCACTCTTGCCTTTCCTGCGTTTTCTTTGGCTGCTTCACCGAGAAGCACATTCATGAGCACGCTGAGACAAAACAACATAACTTAGCTGTAGACCTTTATTACGGAGGCATCTACTGCTTTATGTGTAAGGACTATGTATATGACAAAGACATCGAGCAAATTGCCAAAGAAGAGCGAGGGGAGGCTTTGAAATTACAAGCCTCCTCTGCCACCGACTTTTCTCACCTGCAATGTTTCATGCCAGGCTTCGGTGACAGGTACCCAACTTGGGAGACATCCAGACCTGAGTTTGAACTGCTGGGACACAACCCCAGGAGAAGAAGAATCACCTCCAGCTTCACCATTGGCTTAAGAGGACTTATCAATCTTGGCAACACCTGCTTTATGAACTGCATCGTCCAGGCCTTGACCCACACACCAATACTGAGAGATTTCTTCCTCTCAGACAAGCACCAGTGTGAAATGCCCAGTCCCGAGCTGTGTCTGGTCTGTGAGATGTCTTCACTGTATCGAGAGTTGTATTCGGGCAACCCATCTCCTCATGTTCCTTATAAACTGCTGCACTTGGTGTGGATCCATGCACGGCACTTGGCAGGATATAGGCAGCAGGATGCCCACGAGTTCCTCATTGCTGCGCTAGATGTCTTGCACAGGCACTGCAAAGGTGATGAGGTGGGCAAGGCAGCCAACAATCTCAACCATTGCAACTGCATCATAGACCAAATCTTCACAGGTGGCCTGCAGTCTGATGTCACCTGCCAAGCCTGCCATGGTGTCTCTACCACCATAGACCCATGCTGGGACATCAGCTTGGACTTGCCTGGCTCTTGCACCTCCTTTTGGCCCCTGAGTCCAGGGAGGGAAAGCAGTCTGAATGGGGAAAATTATATCCCAGGAGTCCCCACTCTCACAGACTGCCTGCGAAGGTTTACGAGGCCAGAGCATTTAGGAAGCAGTGCCAAAATCAAATGCAGTAGTTGCCAAAGCTACCAGGAGTCCACCAAACAGCTGACAATGAAGAAACTACCTGTTGTTGCCTGTTTTCATTTCAAACGATTTGAACACTCAGTCAAGCAAAGACGCAAGATCACTACATACATATCCTTTCCTCTTGAGCTCGATATGACACCATTCATGGCCTCAAGTAAAGAGAGCAGGATGAATGGACAGTTGCAACTGCCAACTAACAGTGGAAATGATGAGAATAAGTATTCCTTGTTTGCAGTGGTTAATCACCAAGGAACCTTGGAGAGTGGTCACTATACCAGCTTCATCCGGCACCACAAGGACCAATGGTTCAAGTGTGATGATGCTGTCATCACCAAGGCCAATATTAAGGACGTGATGGATAGTGAGGGATATTTGCTATTCTATCACAAACAGATCCTGGAACATGAGTCAGAAAAAGCAAAAGAAATGAATACACAAACCTACTGAAATGGCACACCGACCTACCTTTGATGACTCACTGACAACAACATCCATGCTATAACTGGCATCAAGATTTCAAGGATCTACTTGCGTGGCCTATGGGCCTGACAGAGTAAGAAATGAACCATATCCAGTGTCTGAAAGGTCCTGATTGGAAGAGAAGTAGAAGGGAGGGAGAAGGGAGAGGCCTTAATGTAGGCAGTCACTGAAAGGAAGAACTAAATGACAGGAAGGCTCTGGGTGGGGAAGGCAGAAGCAGGAAAATCCTGACACTAGTACATATCCTATATTCCTCCAAAAGATTGTGTGGGAAAGTGTGGGGTGGGAGGGGGGCGGTGTGTGGGGGGGTGTGCCCTTGTAACTGTAAACACCTTTCTCCATGGGTTTTTCAGCTTCAGCTGACCAATCATATAACAGTTCTGTGTTGAAGGGGGGAAGAAAAGTTTATACAAATGTAGCCCATTACCTGTATGGGTTTGAAAGTGGAAAAGTGGAGGAGACGGGGATATATCATTGACAAACACCTTTGCCAGTTTCTTTGTGTTTGTGATTTCTGTGCTATTAAATGCAGTATTTAAAAAAAAAAGCAAAGCCTATATGGACCAGTGAAAGAAGCAAAAGAAAGGGGCTTGTAAAGGGGGAGCAACTGCTCCTAAAGCGGAGAAGACAAATGCTGTAAGATAAGTAACCAACACAGACAGGCCGCAGCTAAGAGTGTAGTGTATGTGTGTGTTTAAAAAAAGCTATATAATATACTTGAGCAAATCAATGATCTTCTTTGCTATTGTTCTCTCATCTGTACAATGCAGGTAATTCCTTTCCTTAAAGCGTTATTGTTAAATAATAAATGATATAAATTGTGTCAGAGTATAAAGTAAAATGGCTTGAAAATTTGTAGGGTCATTGTACACATTTGTTGGATCGGAAATTTCTTTGGACTGGGAAAGAAGTGCATCACAGGTAAGAGTCAGTCCCATGTGAGACACATGAATCAGATGTGTATCATGTCACACAGTTACACTGTATCACACACACACTTTCTTAGTTGCCTCCACAAGATTGCCTGCTTAGAGCCTCCATGGCATTGGGATCCCCCCTCTCGTTGTAGAGGGATTAGAGGGAGAACTACAACTATTGTCCCAGAATTAGTATTTATTCTGCCCACTTAGAAAGTCATGCTGTTTTCAGGACTCAGCACCCCAGTAATGGGACTCTTGGGGTCAGAAATATTCCAGACTTCCACCCCAAGGGAGTTGGTGGGCTTCACATCCCCAAAGCACTATGAATATAGCTTCTGCATTTACATGCAGACATAGGTCAGTTGAAGGATTGCTTTCCAAAGCTTAGTGCCAGTGGCCCAGGTGTACATTGGCGTGTTGGCATCTTCCCTGTTCCCCTGCTCCTCCCTCCTGCCCCCCTCACAGAGCAGAGCTTCCTGCAGCAGCTAAACTGAAACAGAATGCACCCAGGATGGGGTAATAACTGCTGGTTCCTTTCCTCCCAGCATTAAGACCAGGACTACCTATTAATGTAAAAAATCATGGGTGGTGGGAAGTGGATTTTTTTGTCAGAAACGGTGTTGAATCTACGGGCTATAGTTAACAGACTAGCTCCCCTCCACCCCAGATTCCTGACAACATATTTGGAAATATTGTTATTAGGGGTTCATATCCAAATAATTTATAGGCTTTTTTAGGACAGAACTTATGAATCCTACACAATATCCTGGGCCACATGCTTGGCCCCTAGCATGCTTCCGGCCACACAGTAGGCATTCAAAACATTTTCTAGTTGGATGAGTGAACCAAAACACCATTTGTTAACCAAATTTCCATCTATATCCAGGACCCAATATCCTCTAGAGAAAAATGTCAAATGTGGTATTTTTGTTATCTTGGGTGAGTGGGGATATCAAGAGATGAGTGATCTTGCTTACACTTGGCACCTTCACGCAGGGGCTGTGCCTGCCTTCTGAGAGGTGGCAGGCAGCTCTGCCTGGTAAGACAGCCACATGTCCATTGCTCTTCTCTGCCATAGGAAGCATTGAGTCAGGGCTGTGCCACCAGAGCCAAACTGCTTTGCACAGAAACTCATTTAAACCTCTTAGAACATTTATTTGGAGATAATATATTTAGAGGAAAGTTGCAAAAATACAAATTATATATATTTTAAAAACCCTTTCTGTACCTTTTCCCAAATTCACTGTGTGCTGTACTGCTTGCATGTATTTGCTTTCATAAGTGTGTGTGTGTGTGTGTGTGTGTGTGTGTGTGTGTGTGTGTGTGTGTAGTGTATGAGGTCAAATTACATAAGAAAGTACATAGTACAGGTTGCATTTCCTAAAAATAGACAATCCCAGGTCAGGTAGATAGCTTAATTGGTAGAATACATGACCAGCAGGTATGAAGCTCTGAGTTTGTTCCCTCATATCATATGAACCCCCCCTCCCCAACACTTCTGCTGTGGTTCTGCTGCACAAGCAGCAAGTCAGGCACCATCAGACTGAGCATTACAAGGAGTGCCCTCTCTTAGTACCACTAGGTGTGGCCCGTATTTAAAAAAAATAGATATATTTCCAATCCCACAACATAGTTAACGGCTTCAGGAAATTTCAGTGTTACAGTAAAATTTTCTAATCTGTTTTTTTTTTCCTATTCTATTGACCCAGTGACATCTTTTATGGGATTTATCCCTTTCATCACAGGATTTGGTCTTGGACCAGGCATTGACTTTATTATTATTATTATATTATCATTATTTAAATTAGATAGTATTATTTAGAAAAAGTATGTAAGGAGAGTGAGAATGGGAGTGAAATGCACACACACAAACACACAGCGCATCACAGGTTGGGATATGGGCAGCAAAGAATGTGCCCAGGTATTGCTTTGAGTTGTGTCTCTTTCACCTCCTTTGGAACATTCCTTACACCAACTTTCTTCCACTTTTATGACATTAGCATTTTTCATAAAAAATTCCTCATTCTGGGTTTGTCTAATAGAATATCATTTTCAGAGCCTGTGCTCAGAAATAGTGATGCAAATGGGTGTGAGGCCACTGCAGACCTTCTTGTCTCTGACATCTCTGACACCGATGGAATGTACAGACCACCAGAGGGAGAAGCAGTACCTGACACTTCCTGACTGAAGCACATACATCTGTCTGGAAAACAGTTGCCCCTCTGCAACAGAGGAGCCATTCAAGCCTAACCTCTCCCTCTCTATGCACGCTATGCGTGTGCACACATGCACACATGCATACACACAAAGTAGGCACACGCGAACACACACACATACACACACCACCAAGCAATGGGATGCAGCAACAGGCAGGTCCTTCATATCAGCGCTTTACTACCGAGGGCATCGTGTACCTAGCATGTGTGCCTACCTTGAGATCAAATGGAGGCATGTTTGAGCCCATGGGTAAATACTCACATGCTTGGGACTTTTAGGGGTATCAGGAAGTGTTCTCTTAGCACCTTCATCAACACTTGCATTCCAGGTACAGCAGTGATAAGTGAGGTAAGGAAGGGCTAAGTACTTGTTAAGCAACTTCATGGACAAAGCACACAAAGACAGGCTGCAAAGTGTGGAGAACACAGGAGAGGCTACATGAATTTTCAGACATAACTGGGCATGTTTATATGGGAGCTCCACTTCCTCTGTAAGGAACTGGAGGCAAGAGTTGGCAATTCTTTTTAAAAAAACTTTTGATTCATCTGGGGAATAGAAGGTAACAAAATAGGAGACTAACACCCAAGAATAGCTGAGATAAGTACCAGGAGGTTCACTCCATGGCTTGGAGGCCAGCTGCACATGCTAGGGGAAAAGGCAGCTCAGATAGAGAAGGGAGCACCAAATAAAGGGTGTTGGGAGGACCCTCCCACGATGACAGATGCATGCTGAAAGTAGACTATAGACAGAACATGATTGCCACTCAATTCCTCTTTTGCAAACCACAGCACCCAAAAGGAGAGAGAGAATAAAAGGGAATACCCTGCCATAGGGGTGGGGTGGGATGGGGAGATCGGGGGTGGATGGGATACTGGGAGCATTGGAGGTGGAGAATGGGCACTGGTAGAGGGATGGGTACTCAATCATTGTATAACTGAAACCCAAGCAAAAAAATTTGTAAGTCTACAACTGTACCTCATGGTGTTTCACTAATAAAAGTTAAAAAAATATATTTTGAGTTTTAAAAAAGCTGTTTTGTTTGGGGGGAGACTACACTTGGTGGTGCTGATACCTTTTTTTTTAATGCATACCAATGAAATTGCTAAGCATGTACTCTTTTGTGTCTGGCTTCTTTAGTTCCACATTATTTTATGAGCTTCAGGTCTGAAGTTTTATGCCAGGAAAAATTGTTCAGAGTATCCTTATTTCTACCTAATTAATTAAGAGTAATAAAAACTAGACTTCTTAGAGATTTCTGCCATATTGAACCAAATTCAAAGGGACCCAGGACATTGCAAAGTTGAATATCTATAATGACACTAGGCACAGGGAAATGATGGTGGAAAATAGCCTTGAAGAGAAGTTGGGCTAATATAAATTCCCCAAATGTTAATCTTGGGGTCTGTCCCTTCCAATAATCTTGGATCCCAGCTCTTGAGTAGGATACTCTGTTCTAATAAGTTCTCAAATTTGAATATGCATCAGAGTCATTCAGTGAATTTATCATAGATTTCTAGGCCACACCTCCAGAATTTTACATTTCCATGGATTGCAAATGAATTTGCATATGCAACTTATTCCAAAATAATGCTCAGGCATCTGGTTCTGGGACTTCACTTGGAAAAAATCACTTGTCTATTTCAATTGTTTTCACAGCACAGTCTTTGGAACCCAAGGAGTTTATTATGACAATGTCCCAGGGAGAATCTTGACAAGTAGTTTGGGGAGCTAAGGGGAGGGTAAATAGATGGTAATTATCCTTCAATTACATTTCAATCAGAGAAGCTCTGTTGTTATTTATTTTGTATCTTAGAGTTCCAAGTAATATCTGAAGAATGGGTTCAAGCTACTAAAATATTAAAAGTTGAAATTTTTAAGTATTTAGAAGGTGAAAAATCATTCCTGAATCTTACCAGGAATGATCCATGAATACAGACCCAGGAGGAATCCCTGAATTTCCTAAACTTAAAACAATTTTAGACCACAGTAAGATGTTTTTGAACTATATGAGTGGTTTATCTAGAGAATGTTGCAACATGCTACATAGACATAGCTTCATATGTACCCTTAATTTTTATCATACTCTGGGTTCCTTGATTTTCTTGAAACTTAAGAAGTGGGTATTTATAAAGATAGAAATTATATGAGGAAATAATTATAAATAAGATGATATGGAATCAATTATATATTTATACTGTTTTCCTGACAATATAGAACACTAATAGGACATGAACAGCACCCTCTACTGAACTACAAACATATTAATGCTAGATAAACTATAACAAGCATTAAAATTTAGGACAACAGGGGACAGAGACATAGCTCAATTGGCTGAATGTGTGCTTACTTTGCATGCAGTAGGCCTGAGTTCAATCCCTGGAACCATCTGGTGACCCAAGCATCACCTAAAGTGACCCCTGAGCAAAATCATGTGTATTTCTAGAGGACCACCAGGTGCAACCTCCAAACCAAAAAATAAGATAGATAAGTTAATGAATGGGCTGGAGCGATAGCACAGCGGGTAGGGCATTCGCCTTACACGCGGCCAACATGGCCGACCCAAGTTCAATTCCTCCGCCCCTCTTGGAGAGCCCAGCAAGCTACCGAGAGTATTCGATATGCCAGACACAGTAACAACAAAGTCTCCAATGGAGACGTTACTGGGCCCGCTCAATCAAATAGACGATCAA